TATTTTTGTGGAGGGTGGGGAGAAGAAAAGAAGCAGAGAGAAAACTTCCCCCAGTTGTCCTTTGTGCATGTCTGAAGCGAGGCGGAATCTGGCCCGTGTTTCGTTTTATTTAGTGCTAGTTTTTGCTTGTCTTTCGGAACTATTCCCGAACCAAGTTTTTTAGTAACGAATAAGCCCTTTTGTTTCCGCTATTTAGAAGTTGAAGGCCAGCTTTTGGGGTTATAATGAGACATAGTGCACTAAGTTTAGGTGACCGTAGAACAAAACTCCGGGAAACGGTAAAAAAAAGTCAGGGCTCAAAGAGTTGACTCGCGGAGCCCGCTACTCAACACAGACGGGACTGGGTTTTCACATTTTTTTTCAAGAAGGCGTATCCAATAATGCGATATAATTCTTGTACAAAGTTTTTGTTTTCATCATCGGAAATGAAGAAGTTTTCCGAAATTATACAGGAGTATTTTAGATGAAAAACTACATTCACTTCGGTGACCGGGTAGAGACCTAGAGGCCTGACTGCATCTCTTTGCTTCGCTTATCATCATTTGAAAAACACTAGACTAGATCTAGGGATGTTGGAGAACTTTGCAAGCCAGTGTCATGAAAAATATGAAAAATGTAGACTAGATAGATATCTAGACGCAGTCCTCACATTTTTGTGTGACAATAATTTATTTTTAGTGTTATTTTCTGTCACATCCAGGGAGAAGAAATATTTTTCTAAATTGAAAATAGTGGGGGCAATTTTAAAATTTGAGGAAAATTAAATTTTAATGATAATTTGATAAATTTATAGGAATTATAAAGAGTACTAATATATCATTGAATTATATATGAGCCATAAATTAAGTCAGTAACTCAATTTTTATATTCCTGACAAGTTTTTGAACAAGTGAGAAAGAATTTTCATCCAGTGCAGCCCAGGTAGGCCCTAACAGGCAGGGTCGAAGCCTGAGTCCTAAACGATCGAAACTGTGTCGATGAGGGTGTAAAAACACTTACATTTTAAAAAAAAAGACTCACACAAACAAACAAGTGTATGCCACCCCCGCGTACTCACAGAATGCATAGAGCACGTGTCGTTACTCAGCCAGCCCTGGAGGTCGGTGTACGTCTTGGCCGGCCGCCTCCCATCATGCAACACTCGGCACAGCTCGCACGTCATAAACAACTGCAGAGGTCACGGGAACAACGACATTACACAGTTTTGTTTTTTTGGGTCATTGTCTATCTATATACATATCTATAGTAAAACGAAGAATTGCGACAACTGAACAGAATAAAACGAAGAACTGCGACAACTGAACAGAATAAAATGAAGAATTGCGACAACTGAACAGAATAAAACGAAGAATTGCGACAACTGAACAGAATAAAATGAAGAATTGCGACAACTGAACAGAATAAAATGAAGAATTGCGACAACTGAACAGAATAAAATGAAGAATTGCGACAACTGAACAGAATAAAATGAAAAATTGCGACAACTGAACAGAATAAAACGAAGAACTGCGACAACTGAACAGAATAAAATGAAGAACTGCGACAACTGAACAGAATAAAACAAAGAATAACTGAACAGAATAAAACGAAGAACTGCGACAACTGAACAGAATAAAACGAAGAATTGCGACAACCGAACAGAATAAAACGAAGAATTGCGACAACTGAACAGAATAAAACACAGAATAAAACGAAGAATTGCGACAACTGAACAGAATAAAACAAAGAATTGGGACAACTGAAGGGTTGACCTGGTAGTCCGAGACGGCGCGGTAGTATTGTGTCCACCACAGGTGCTGGTTGTACAGGCTGGGGTTCGAATCCACCTGGAGGGGAGATATAGAGCACGGATGAAAACATGAGCGACTGCATCAAAGTTCAATGTAAAGAGAAGTAGAGCACGGATGGAAACATGAGGGAGTGCATCAAAGTTCAACAACTCATGATAAGAAAAACCAAAAATTGTCAATGTTTTCTGTCCCCTTGGATAAGCCATCGCCGTTGTTGTAACATCAGATACTGTTGGGATGGACTGAAGAGCAAACACCGGTGTAATTGTGAATGATACAGTTATTAGCAAGAGTTGTTACAACTGATTAAATAGCCAAAACTGTTGGCAATGATAAAATAGTGGAGGGTCGGAGGGTGCTCTGGTGCGGTTTGCTCCATCTTTCTCATTGAATACCCATCGTTCTTAACCCTTTTCCTTCTTTTCTTTGTATGAAACTCTCTGGTGACATCTCGAAACTTGGGCACCTGTGTGACTTATTTGTGTTGCAGGTGGCGTTTGACACTTGTATGACCTATTCATGTTGCAAGTGCTGTAAAATCTTACTACATCAAAAACTAAGCTACATAATGAAATAATACAGAAACAGTAGCTAATGAATCATTAGCAAAAATCTATTAAGAACATGAACATATAATTCTCTATAAAAAAAGCATATGTAAATCTTTCTCAAAAGCTGTAATACTTTTGTATTTGAAGTGGGACTAATCTCCCCCACTAAAAATTAGTTAAACAATTTTTTATGAATAAATAAAGAAAGAAAGAACGAAAATTGTCTTTAAAACGTGGATTTTATTCTACCGGCTAATTTAAAAATAAGTAAAACAAAGAAATCCAACTGAGACTAAATATTCAATCTTTCTGATCCGGGTTTCTTCCTACCTCCTTCATGTAATCGGCCAAGTCGCGGACCGACCGGAAGTCTCGCACGTCCATGAAGCTGTTGGGTGGCGCCACCTGGGAGTAGTCTGCAGCGCCAAACACCACTGGAGGTTGCCACGCAGCGCCACAGGATCAAGACAGACAGACATTGTGTTGATGGATGTTATGACAGTAGACAACGCGTTGATGACGGTAGACAGACAACGTGCTAATGACAGTAGACAGACAACGCGTTGATGACAGTAGACAGACAACGCGCTGATGACTGTAGACAGACAACGTGCTAATGACAGTAGACAGACAACGTGCTAATGACAGTAGACAGACAACGTGCTAATGACAGTAGACAATGTGCTAATGACAGTAGACAGACAACGAGTTGATGACAGTAGACAGACAATGTGCTAATGACAGTAGACAGACAACGTGCTAATGACAGTAGACAGATAATGTGCTAATGACAGTAGACAGACAACGTGCTAATGACAGTAGACAGACAACGTGCTAATGACAGTAGACAGACAACGTGCTAATGACAGTAGACAGACAATGTGCTAATGACAGTAGACAGACAACGTGCTAATGACAGTAGACAATGCGTTGATGGACATTACAGTAGACAGACAACGCGTTGATGGACATTACAGTAGACAGACAACGCGTTGATGGACATTACAGTAGACAGACAACGCGTTGATGGACATTACAATAGACAGACAACGCGTTGATGGACATTACAGTAGACAGACAACGTGCTAATGACAGTAGACAACGCGTTGATGGACATTACAGTAGACAGACAACGCGTTGATGGACATTACAGTAGACAGACAACGCGTTGATGGACATTACAGTAGACAGACAACGCGTTGATGGACATTACAGTAGACAGACAACGCGTTGATGGACATTACAGTAGACAGACAACGCGTTGATGGACATTACAGTAGACAGACAACGCGTTGATGGACATTACAGTAGACAGACAATGCGTTGATGGACATTACAATAGACCATGTGTTAGTACAGATGTTATGACAACAGACAGACAATGTGTTAATCCAACCACCCACAAGTTCAACACTAAAGACAGAAATCTTAGAAAACAAAACAATGTTCACAAATGTCATAATTATGATGATAGTTTATATGAACAAACTGCAAACATTTGATAATTGAAACAGCCTCAAAGAACACAACACAACAACATAAGATCAAAAGTGAAACATCCCAGGAGAAATAGCTGAGCAAAAAGTAGCGATGTATCATAACGCACTTGATAACAAAGATAAAACATCAGCATATCAAAGACTTAAGAAAATGTGTGGAGACTTGGACATACAGGTTTAAGTAGGACTCCTCAAACATCATCTTCATCATCATTGTGTACAGCAGAGAATAAAAAAGGTTGAGACTCGTAAAAAATTTCCAAATATATTTTATAATATGTTCAAAGTTTTGCCCGACTCTGGGTTTCATCAGGAACATCTTTTAAAATATTGATCATCCTCATCATCATAATCATCATTGTCACCAGGGTCATCAAGTTTTGTAGAGAAACACAAGCATGTCTATATCTTTATTGCGAGACTCCCCATTCAAAACAGAGTATTACACTACCAGCCATTTCTCTCTTGCTCTCTTTTTTGTTTGATCATCCATCATCATCACCATCATCATCATCATCATCATCATCATCATCATCATCATCATCATCATCATCATCATCATCATCATCATCGACTAAACAGTTCCCCTGTATCTTGTTTAGTCTTTGTATCTAGTTTTGTTTTTCTTGAAACATAACAAATCGCACCATTTCAACACATTTTTACGTAACCTACAAATATCAGCACAAAAATCAGAACTCGCTAAAAAAAAATAAATTAAAAAATTGAATTTCGACAAAATAATTCTTGAGCACTTGCAACTGGTACCACAGAGTAAAGAAAGTGTGGAAAACCCCCCAAAACTACGAAACAAAAATTCCCCCAGACAATACATCAAAGTTTTGGGTTTAAAACATTTGAACAGCTGGCTGACGCTTTTGTCCTGGACCTGTGACCACACGTTCTGTCATGGATAACGTTCGATCGGTTTCGATTGGCTTGGCTTTCGTGCTACGTCGTGACAACGAGATCACTTATCGATTACCTCGAGCCAATGAGGTGTTTTTTTTTTTCTTGGTTTGCGTACGGCAGGTTTTGATGGTAACTGCAAAGACCTGTTCTCACGACTGACTGTGTTCGTTTTATTTGCTTTATTTGTTTGTATTCTTTTTCTTTTTGGGGGTAGGAGTAAAATTTGGGAATGGAAACACACTCATAAAATACTTATAGCACATTATGCACTTGTACACATACACACACACACACAATATAT